TTTTTTTTTTTTTTTTTTTTTTTTTTTTTTTTTTTTTTTTTTTTTTGCTCCTAGTCCTGCTCTTGTTGAGGCTTTGCAGCAATTACTGTCCCTGCAGCACTGCTGAGAGTGCAAATGTGGCGGACAAACAACAAGGAAAGATCTTTATCTCCCATTCTTCCTTTATGGAATGTGTAGATGGAGATATCCCACTTTCTGTGGTGAGTAAGCCAGGCCTATCTTCTGAGGCTCAACTATCCAGATATTGCCCAAGCCCCCTTTTGATCAGGCTACAGTGGAGCAAAGTGCACTCAGAGCAGTCTTCTAAGGTGGAGAATTGCTGAAAGGTGCACAAAACAGCTGTGCCAGTTTGGAATGTTGCAGAACCATCCATACTCGCATCAGCAAGTTGCTGCTGCTGACTATAATCCCTCATGGTCCCCCCAACCTGCTTTCCAAATCCCAGCTGTGAAGGGATGGACTTAGAAACAGTTTGGACCCAGCAAAAGCAATAGGATGGCATTAAAGGGCCTATCTGTTTATTCATTTAGCTCATTCCTGCTTCCTCTTCTCCAGTGGTTTGGCCTAATTTCAAAGAAGGCCCTCCTTAACTGAATTTTTCAAAGTCCTCCTTGGTTGAAGGTTACCAATCTATAGGATGTACTTTCAGGGGCCAGGGCAGTTCTGTTCCTCCAACACAACCAGTGAAAAAACACCTACTCTGAACCTCTCCATGGTGTTGTGGAGTGACCCTTTCAAGGAAATAGAGACTAAATCAAAAAGGAGAAGTGTGTCCACCTTTTTCAGGTAGCTCTTCCAATGAGACCCACAGATTTTTCTTCCTTTTCTTGAATACCCATATAGCTGGAAGGAAAGAAGAAAAGGGAGCCCATCAGAAAGGAGAGAGATTCCCCACTTTCCTCTCAAAATCAGGAAGAAGCTGGCATATCTTTCCTGGTGTTCCAAATCTCTTTATTGGAGTCAGACTGGCAATGAGAAACTGGCCAAGGCTTGGGTGGCCAGAAAACACAAACCTAAATCTTGCCATAGGATCTTCTGTCTCTTCATCAGAATCATGGGAGCCTAATATCTTGAATCTTAGGAGATCTATAGGAGGGAAAGAAAAAGACAGGAGAACTTCTGTTCCTCCACCTGGAAGGAGGGTCAGCTGTTGGTGTTGGAACCCAAGGACCAGGAGGAAAAGACAGGATATTTACCCCCAGGATATTTGAGACACTTTCAGGTTGTCACAAGCCTAGTTCTTCCTCTGGGACAATCCCCCAAAAGAAGAAGGAGGAGAAAAAAAAGGGGGTGTGGGTGGGGTCAAGAAAGAGAATTAGATTAGTAAGAATTTTTTCCCTTTGGGATACAAATTGGAATTATCAGAGTTTCTATGCATGGATGTTACTGGACCTGAATGGGAAACTTGTGCAAAAACAAGTATCTGTGAAAACTTGTTCTGTTTTGTAAAATTCTGTAAAATGTTGCACAATAGGTCAGGGCTAGTGAATTGATCCAAAGTGGATATGGTCCTCTCCTGGAATGGGCACCTCTGATTGTTTAAAAAACAAATCTCATGGCTGGGGCATATTCCTATGGAATATCTGTCAGCAGCACTCGTGTTTCTCCTCAAAATGCCCTTCATGTCTCCACTAGGGTAATGAAGGTAGATCAACAATTGTCTCAAGGGTCTGACCTCACAGGGTCCCAGAGCCTGGCCTGCAGCCCAAGCCCAAACATTTACACCATGACTAAACAGCCCCATAGCCTAAGCCTGTGATAGCTGGCGTGGTCCAACTATGGGTTTTTAACTGCAGTGTAGACTCATCCTGAGATGGAATACAAGCCTTGCTACAAATCAGGGTAGTCTTTTTATTGTCATGCAGATGTGTTTTGTGTCAGTTGGACTCTCCTGATTGATATATACCAGTATCCAAAATATGCTAGAAAGGTTGACGTGCTGCATGAATAGCAATTTATTTTGTGGATGAACTGCTTGTTACACGGGTCAGTAATTTTCTTTTTTTTTTTTTTTAAAGTATTTGGTCTTGAGTTGCTACAGAATTGATTATGGTCTGTTTAATACCTACACTGGTCTTAATGCAAAAGATATTTTCCCCCACTAGGGCTAGTTTAGAGCTAACTTTACTATTTCCCCCAAAATTTATGATAGTATAGTGCATATTCCTCACTGTGTACTACAGACATGTCAAGTCTGAAGATTTTAGTCTTAATTGTTCTGAATTTATCAGATTGTGAAAAGGCATCAGAATAGTCTTCAGAGCACGGAAAACACTGGAGGTTTGGTTTTGTTTGTTTTTTTTAAAGACACATTCATAACTTAAATGGTTGGATTTTCTTTAAACCTTAAGGGAAAAATATCTCTAAGTTAAAGTAAGACTTGAGACATTCATGCAAAAGATTTTTTTTGTTCACATAGTTTCTTTCTCTGCCTTTCTACATATTTCCCCAAACTGAGTGTAAACTCCATCCCCTAATGGCCACAGAACTGGTGTCTGCAACACCTTTTTGTATTTTTATTACAGTTAAGTATGCTTTTTCAGGGCTTATGCAGCATTTATATAAGCTTTCATATAGTGTTTTTTGCTTTACACACTTCCCCTTATAATACTCTTGCCTTTGTTTCCTTGAAATAAAGATTCATCCAGATCCCATAAGCTGGTTGTATAGAGCTGTCTTCAGACCATAATGATACGACTACCTGACATTGAGTAAAACACAGGTCTTTGTTCCACCTGAGCAAGCTATTTAGGAAGCAATAACCCAACTATGGAATTTGAACTCTGATTTCCCTTTCTAGCAGTAATAATTCTAGTTTACTGACTGACCTATATATTCCATGCTTTTTAGTTTGAATGAGGAAGTACACAGACATTAATTTGTGCGGTACCTTGGCTTAATAGCATATTGGGAAATGTTATAGAATGTCAGAAATAAGACAGAGTCTCGGGGGAAAAAAAACATGGACTTCACTGGTAATCCTATTGCAGTTTATAATTGTCATGTCTGTTTTTTTCTTTTTAAGAAAGAGAATATCCTGTATTAAACTTGTCCCAAAATCTAAAAGAAGAATAGTGTGTGAAATAATGGCAACCGGAGACTTAAAAGGAAGTTTACGCAAGCTAGAACAAGGACTTCGCTTGTTAAACTATGCTAGAGATGTGGATTACACAGGGTAAGAGGCAATTAGATATTTTGAATGAACTTGTGCTTATACATCATGATGACCACAAGAATGTAAACAGTTCTGGTAATTGTTAATAGAAATTCCACCACAGAGTCAATATAGAAATTATGATCTGTGCATGTGTGTGCTAATGGCAGGGTATGGTAGATACCTAGTCAGATTGAATACACATTCTAAATCATTTAATTATATAGTGTCAAATTTTGAGTGTGCGCACTAAGAAATAGGTTATTCCTGTTGACAAAACTGATAGAATACTGATGTTTCTGGGTTGAGATTAGGCCATTTGCCATTGTAGACAGTCATGACTTTTATTAGCAAATATCTTCAACAGCCAGAGATGAGACATTGAAGGGGCAGGACTCAGAGTTACTACCGAGAATTTTTCCCAGGTGTCTGGCTGGTGGGTTTTGCCCATATGGTCAGGGTATACCGGCTGCCATATTTGGGAAGGAATTTTCCCCCAGGTCGGATTGGCAGAGACACTGATGGGTTTTTTTTTTTTGCCTTTCTCTGCAGTGTGAGGAACAGGTCCCTTGCTGTTTGAACTAGAGTAAGTGGTGGATTCTGTGTAACTTGAAATCTTTGAATGAAGATTTGAGAACTTCAGTAACTCAGCCAGAGGTTACAGACCTGCTTACAGGAGTGGGTGGGTGAGATGCTGTGGCCTACAATGTGCAGGAGGTCAGACTAGATGAGCATGACAATCCCTTCTGGCCTTAAAGTCTGTTACCCGGTTCAGCTGCAGGTGTTTTATTGAACTGTAGACATACGTATAGATACTAATATCACCCTTTGCAGCTGTTCAGCATTTCACAATTGACTTGGGACACTTCTGTGGGTTTCACTTTTCTCTGAAGCATTAAGATAGGGGCCTATGTTGGAGGCAGGATACTTTACAACTAGGTATTATTTACATATTTCTTATGGGAAATCTATCAATAGTGCAGCTTCACCAGTGTTGGTAACAGTGAGAGCACTAAGGTAGAAAGACACTGGTATTTTTACCACTGCCCTCTTCTCAGTGCAAGTACAGAGAGGTAGTGATAAGAAGTGGCACTGCTCGCTCTATACTAGCACTCTCGTTAGTAGTAGTTCAGTACTAAGAGAAAGCACTGCAGTTCTTCCCACATTGTCATCTAGACCTGAGCAGGGTCAGATTACACAGTGATAAAATGCTTGTGCATTTTCTACTGTAGCACTACCCCAAGTGCAGCTGAAGTGCTGAGAGATTTCACACAAAATGTTATTACAGGTACAGCCTGAGATGATTTGCCTCATTTGCACAAATAAGTTACTCTTCTCCCTAGTGAATAGATTCAGTATTTTTAATAATCTGTTGAATGTACAATGTCATAATGAAAATATTCAGTATTTAATACAACAGTTATTGCACATTCAGTTTTCCTTGGTATCACCAGTCATTTGTGTCAGTAGTTGCAAATCAAGATATACTTCACTCAGTTTGTTACTGATAAAGTTATTTGTCCTTGTAGCGAAGCAATGACTTGCCGGCGCGGCGCCTCCTGCTGGTTGTTCTGGAAATTAGCTCTTCACCAGCTTCAGAACGCCCTCTGCAGGCCACTGTCTCGCCTGCCGCTGGCTCTGTGTCCCTCCTGGACCCCTTTCCCTGGAGTTCTGCCCTCCACAGTACCCCAGCTCTGGATCTCCCCTCCCAGGGGAACCCCCACCCTCTACACCCACCTTGCCTCAGTGGCTACTTCCGGTCATCATCTAGCCCCCGCTCACTGGGGCAGACTGCAGTCTGTAAACCACTCATCACTGGCAAGGGGGTTTTGGACCTGCTGCCTTTGCCTAACCCCAGGCTACACCTCTCTAGGCCTTGCACAGGGCCTGCAGCCTGGGGAGTTACCAGGCTGGCGCTCCCAGCTCCTCTTGCCTTTCCCCAGCACTACTCTACTCAGGTCCCCTTCTCTCCCAGGCAGCCAGGTCCTTCTCTCTCTACAGCTAGAGAGAGACTGACTTAGCTCCTGACTCACAGCCCTTTTATAGGGCCAGCTGTGGTTGCTTCCCCAATCAGCTTAGCCTTTTCTCTCCGGAGTGGGGTAACTGCCCCGCTACAGTCCTTTTCTCTCTTTAGCAATGCTTTAACATCACAGGTGACTTGGAAATACATATCCAGTTTAGGACTGATGACAAGGTCCATGTAACCATGTAAACAGCAGGCATAAACACTATAATTTTGTAACCATTAAATACCAGCTTCGCAGTGAGGGTGCAAGAATTCTGTAATATGATATATTGTCCAAATCCAGAGCCAAATATGGATTTTAAGTTATTTCACTAATGTAATTTGACTTTGATATCCCCTTTTCAGTATTCTATAACTTGTGGAACAGGGAGGAGGAGCATTTTAACTAACTTTTATGACGGTTCTCTGAGCTATTGTATGGAGTAAGAAAGCTAGGGGAAAAGTTCTTGGGGCCTGATTTTTATTCTCTTTCCTACCTCCCAAAGCTGTCTTTTTCTCTTCTCCCACTATTTGGTGTCTTGCCAGCCTCAGAACAGGCATTTGGTTAGCTTAGAGCTTCTGTACACAAGCATTTCCCAAGCAACACCCCCTGCAGTGTGAAACTGAACAGGCACATTTCATGTATGTTCCTTTTCAGTTTCACTTGGGAAAGTACTTGTGCGCAAGAGTATAATGTTAGTGTCTATGTGACTCCTGGGCACAGTATCTCCACAGGAGTCAGTAAATGGAAAAAACAACAGCTTGTTACAAGGGAAGGTGGATCCTAAGCTACTGGACTGCAGATGTGCTATATACTTGGTTGAATAAATGAGACACTATTGCAAAAGCTAAAAAATAAGCCATAGTTTACTTATGCTTGCTGCAGAGTTAGGCGCTTAAGTGCAACAGAATTCTAGAGGTCCAGGGTAACAGTATGACTATTATGGAAAGTGTAACATGCAAAACTTAAATATTATCCAAAAATCCCCAAAGGTGCATGCACAAATGCAAGAGAGGGAGATTTTGGCATACTTGGTGACATAATTTGATCCACTTTTTACTAGTTTTTCCTGTAGTGCCTTGATTAAAGTTGGACCTTTGCAAAAAAAAAAATACACTTCTTCCACTGTGCTGTGGAAGCAATAGCATGTCACTGAAGTTGTTTATAGTGAATATTTCACATTTGGCTTAAGGAAAGTTCAGCTGGAGTTTTTCATTTAAATTGATCTTAAAGCTAATGCAATTCTTTCATTTATAATCATGTTTATGAATTTTGTACAAGAGGAAAAAGCAGTACATTTTTCTGGAAACAGAGGACTGGCTTTATAAATAATCTTAGTACATTAACCAGTTCCATAAACTTAAGTGGCTCAATAAAGCAAAAATGTTGTTTAATCCCTTTGAAGTTTTAGTTCTTCAATAATGGAGAGTAAATGTCAGTTAAAATGTATATCTTCTAATAGATATGTTAATATACAGAATGCCTATTGATAAAGGTGTAGGGGTAATAAAAAGATTTATATGGCTATGCAGGGAGATTGAAAACAATGTTAGTGTAGAAAAGATGGTGTATGTCAATGTTCTTCTTTGAGTTATTGTCCACATCTTCATGGATTCCATTCTTGGTGTGCATATGGCCCGTGCACATGAGATCAGATTCTTATGACCTGCAGTGTGTGTTTGGGTCTGCACCTGTGTTCTATATGTCCTTGCCTGTGCTCCTCTCCCACCCTCCAGAAACAGGGTATAAAGAGCAGAGCAAGCCCAACCGTCCCTTGTTTCTTTCTTACCATCCGTGGCAGCAAGACAGAAACCGTGCAGTGTCCAGTTACTTCTCTGTATTCAGTGTTAGTGTTAACTAGTTCATTTTAATCTTTTTCCTGTTGGCAAAAATACATTTGTTTAGTCAGATATTTAGGTTTTAGGGCCTGCCTTAACCCCTGCAGTGCGCACGCGCGCACACACACACGGGCTCTCGCAATATGGAAGAAGTGAAATCCCTGGAGTTTAAAACTTGACTCTCTCAAGAGAAATTTCAACACCACTTAACAGGTACTCTAGATGCCTTTGTTTGCCTAGGTGAGGAATATGTTCCATACATATTCCTGAGAAGCTGGTTCAATAAAAGATATTACCTCACCCACATTGTCTCTCTAATATTTCATATATCACTTCTCTAAGTGGATTCAGAAAGCTTGAGAAAGCTCTTAAAATCATTCCTCATGTAATGCTCTATGTCAGCCTCCACAGATGCCAAAAAGAAGGATGTAGTGAGACCTCAGTTCTCCAATCAGTCCCTCTCCATGAGCACCCCAGTGGGCCAATATTTCACCCTGAACTTGCACACTGTTGACTAAGAGGCCTCGGTCGTCTGCCTCCATTCTAGCATCAGATATAAGCTGAGGCATAAGTTATCCTCTCCAGTGCCTACCAAGTCAGACACGAGCAAGTCAGATACCTGCTCATCTTTGGCTCAACAGTTAAAGGGTAGTCCAGAGGCCTGACATAAGTCCATCTGGTGCCTTGGTACTGAGTGTTAAACGTGTATCTTCAGTACCGACGAAACATGTGGACTGCCCTTGCTCCATCATTGGCCCCTTGGTACCTGGTGTGCAGGTACCATCTGTACTAGCACCTAAAGCGCATATGAGTACAGAGTATGAGTAAAGTACAGAGTGATCTAACTGTAGGATTAATAACCGTGTCAGTGAGGATGCTGATAGCTAAGCCACCAGTTAATGTGAGTCATCAGTACAGCAGATGAAGGAGGTATCTCTAGTACAAACATCATCCCCTGCCCAATTTGGGAAAATACAGCAGAGCTAGAGCACTCCTGAAAGGATGGCCTTCCCACCCCACCCCCTTTGGAAAGAAGTATACTCCTTCTCTTCGTCCTCATTGAGACTCAGTAGGGAGTCATCTCCTACATAGCCACCCTCTCCCTCTTGGGTAGCACAATATAATCAGGAAGCAACCTGGGACTCACAGGGAACATCTTGGTACCCCCATCCCAGCATCTATACCCTTATCAGCCTTGGCCCTACTGGGTACCTGTGCATGTGCAGTCATATTCTCATAAGCCTGTAATTTCTGCCCTTTCTAAAGTTAGACTGCCCTTCCCAAAGAGGCAGTATAGACCAACCTAGGCAGGCCAGCTAGTGCAGCCTCAAATACAGAGACATGAGGAGGAAAATGATATGGAACAACATCTACAAGGGAAGGAACAACTTTTCCTTGCTTTAGTTTCCTCATCCTTCCCCAAGGAGGCAGTAAATCCTCATTGGATAACTTCAAGGAGTTCCGGGACCTCATCAGGCATATGGCAAAGACTCTGGAGATATTTCTGGAAGTGGTACAAGAGAAATATGATAAGCTTCTGGAGAGCTTGCACTCTTCCACACCTGGCAGGCTAGCAATGCTGACAAATGAGGAATTGTTGGAGACTGCAGAAGATCTTTGGCAGACTCCAGCCACACCCAAGTATGCAGACAGAAGGAACAAAGTCCCTTCAGATGCCTACTTTGGTAGGGCTGTCCCACAATCATTGTTTAAGTAGGACTCCTTCTACCTACCTCCAAGCAAATAGACAACTGCTTGTTAGTCACCCAGAGTGGAATCCATGTGGACAATCACTTGAAGGGTTACTGTAGCTTCAAGACAGGTTCTTCGAGATGCATTGTCCACCTGGATTCCTTGACCTACCTTCCTTTCTGGTTATTACAGAATTCCTGCTCCTCCAAGTTTGTGTATTGGTAAAGGAATCTGAGGGATGGTTGGGCTAACTGCCTTTTATGTCCTTGAATGGATGAATGCACACTTCTAGGGCATAGATGTGGCCTAAAGAATCCAATCTCATGTGTATGCTGTTCTGTGGGCAACAAATCTTCAAAAGACACAGTTTATCTAAGGTACACCTCTACCCCGATATAACTTGATCCAATATAACACGAATTCAGATATAACGCGGTAAAGCAGCATTCCGGGGGGCGGGGCTGCGCACTCGGTAGATCAAAGCAAGTTCAATATAACGCGGTTTCACCTATAACGCGGTAAGATATTTTTGGCTCCCGAGGACAGCGTTATATTGGGGTAGAGGTGTAAGTAACCATTTTTTAATAGAAGCCTGAAAATTGTAACAAAGGCATTGTAGCTAGATAGGTTCTTTGAATTATTAGATCTCAAGATTGGTGGATGGACTAAATAAGAAAATGGAAAGTAAAAGAGAATTTAGGCTTGTTTTAATAAATAGGTCAGTATTTGCAAGTGTTTATGCCTCTTTGTGGCCATAATCCCATCTGAAAAGTCTTAAATTCCGTCAGTATTCAGGCTGAGTGCATATGACTTCAATAAGACTGGCCTTTACAGTACAGATGAAGGAATAGTGCTTTTTGAACACTTTGTTACCCACATAACAGCGTTTTGGGTATTGCAAGTAGTAGAATTCTTGATTAAAGTAATTCTTTCATGAAACTGAAGGCAATTCATGTTAGTCTCACTATGATATTCGGTTATTGCATTCTGCTTTTATCTTTGTCACTGCAGTAGTAACTTTCTTTAATTTTAGGGAGGAGGGTATTCCAGTTACACAGTGCAGATAATAGGGCTTCATTAATTCATTGCCTTTGGCATCCTGCTCATCCACAAAAGGACTCCAACGAGAGAGAGAGAGAGTATAAGATGTCTGTGCATCTGCCTCTAGACTTTGTGGTCTGCTGAAGCTGCAAAAAATATAAAAACCGAATAACGAAATGCAGTTCTAAATACGGCTGTTAAGCAGAGCTTGAAAAATTTACCAGACCCCTATTATCTGAAGTGTAATCCTGCTAAGAGATAACAGCAAAAGATACACATCAGTGAGATTCAGGGCAAAGTGTTTTCACAGTCTCGGTGGAAATCTGGCTTCATTGGATTAGCAACAAAGAACTGGAATGACATAAAGACACAAAACAAAAAATAAAAATAAATAAACATTCAGAGACACTATAAAACACTTATTACAATACTAATCCCAGATACAAAGGCTGAGTTTAGGTAAGGGTGAAGGACTATATTTCAGTTGCTGAGTACCGTCTTTCTTTTCTTTTCCAGTATTTAAATGGTAGGTCTAGATTTCTACCCAAAATCTGTTTGCACAGGAAGTTTTCACTGTTCATTGTGTTAGCTGTATAAAGTGTGGCAGTAAAATCATGGAACGTAGTTCAGACTTTTGTTAATTTAAGATCTATACTTTGTCCCAACATGCGCAACACCAGTTCTGTGTGTGTGTGTGTGTGTGTGTGTGTGTTTTGCATATTTGGATTGGTTTGGTGGAAAATGGGAATAGGTGCTGAAAAAGCAAATAAATTGGGTAAAAGTGTCAGTAGTCAAGGTCAGGTAAAAATGGTAATTTACACTCTACTAAACACTGGGCTGAGAACACTGTATATGAGTGTCTTTTTCTATGAGGAATTAATATGGCTTATGAAATAAATTGCATAGTATGTGCCTTGAATTTCCATTTTATAATGTTGAGGGTTTTTTTAGATCTATTATTTTCAGGAATTGTCTTTTTGCAGAGTGAATAAAAATCGCACTCTCTCTATTAAAATGTTGTTTATACCAGGGTTCTGTCTCATATAGAAGAGTGCTTTAAACTTCCTATTCAATTACTCAGGGGCTGGGCTATAAATTTAGTATTATATACTCCCTTCAGTGCATAGTGGAATGTCTGCTGATGTCCTTAGGAAGTTTGTAGAGAAATCAAGACAATGATATGGCCATTATGTTGTAACTAAACATTTGGCTATTTTGTTCAGTGCATTATTGTCACATTTACTGCTCAATGACAAGATCTGCTCCCATTTGGGCCACTGTTATTTCTGCCTTTTTTTTCTTTTTTCTTTTCCATCCTTCCTCCTTCTGTCTTTGTGAGCCCTCAGTTGTCTCTGCATTTCCTTCTGTTCAGCAACTTCCAGTTTCAGACCCAGTGTGCTTCACTCCCACCTGTTTCTGCATTCCATCTGCTAAAATGATTAATAGTAAGATACTTTAATGTTGACAGTGAAGTATCATTGTATCATTTTAGAGTTGACACTCCAGTGTGATTCATAGGGAGAGGAGTGTGAGTCAATTTCAGGCTGCCTTCAGACTCAGGCAAATTTCACTGAATCAGGTGACCTTCTAAATGTGAACTATGTTTTTATTTCTGAAGCCAAGAGGGCTAGAAACTTATTTAAAAAGGGTGGGGGCGGGAGGGGAGAAGGAAGCTGTGCTTCTACACAATTTTGATACATCTTGTGGGCCATACAGATATACCTTACAGGCTGTATGTTTGACACCACTGGTTTATACTGATTGCTGATTATTTACTTCCATTTACTGTGCAAAATACTTATCCTTTTTCCCCCCAGCAGTTTTGTAAAGGGTGATCCAGCTGCGTTTTTACCCATCATCAGTTATTCCTTCACGTCCTTCTCAACTTACATAGCAGAACTTTTGGTGGAATCTGATGTAGAGCTCACGGCTAAAAGCGATTTGCGTTTTATTGAAGCTATCTATAAGGTATCTAACTTTATGTTCATTGAGTTTTATGTATCTGATAATTATCCTGCCAAACATTTAATATGCGTCTCTGCTGGGTAATAGAATAATTTTGAAATTGTAATATTGGTGACACAATCATTTGGTAACTCCTGCACAAGAGGTTTGGGGCACGGGTCACTTGCTGGAGGATTCTCTGCACCTTGAATTCTTTAAACCACAAGTTGAGGACTTCAGTAGCTCAGACATAGGTCAGGGGTTTGTTACAGGAGTGGGTGGGTGAGATTCTGTGGCCTGCGTTGTGCAGGAGGTCAGACTAGAAGATCATAATGGTCCCTTCTGACCTTTAAGTCTCTGAGTCTGTGAGTAAATTTAGCTGGGTTGATTTGTAAAGCATATTCAAAGTGTCTTCTGCTTGGTGTCTAGAGTCAAGATTTCAGAGGAGCCATGACCAGTATGTGGCGGTCCAAATTTTGATTTATAACTTAATGAAAACAGTGAAGGTTGATATTAGCTCAACTTTACTCTTTAGTTGATACTATTATTGTTTGTATTATTGTAGTTGCTAAGACCGCCAGTCATGGACTAGGACCTCATTGTGCTGGATGCTGTACAGACAGAGAACAAAAAGACAGTCCCTGCCCCAAAGAGCTTACACCAAAGTGTAAGACAAGAGACAACAAATAGGTACAGGCAGATTGATAGAATAACAATGAGACATAAGTGGTCAGAATGAGAAGCTATGGTATCAACATACCAGAAGCCTAATCAATGTCAAGTTATTAAAAAATACTGTGTCATAATTTTCTATTAAATGACATCTTAAATCAACAGACTGTAGATATGTAAGCTTACCTGAAACATTCATTGTACAATGTATTATGCAGCCTAAAGTTGACTGAGAGTGTGCTTTATTGCCACTGAGGAAATTAAAACCAATTCTAAGTGTTCATTTTGCAAACAACTGTTCTTGAGTTGTTCCTATGATGTGCCTTTCACACTGGTGTCTATAACTAAGGTACATGCAAATTTGATCTTTTTGATACTTGCACAGTAATCTCATCAAGACTATTAAAAATTCTATACAATCCTAATATTAAAGATACATTAGATTTAAAAATCTAAGAATTACTTGCATTGTATCCTGATTATTTTACTATTGATCTAGTTTATAACAATTGGAGAAATTACAATTTGCTACTTAAAATTGTTTTATCTCAATTCTCATGGTGAGTATTGAGTAGAGGGAATAATGCCAAACTCTGTGACCGGAGTTAGAGAATACATTACGTAGGAAAAACTGTGTACTGTAGGTTACAATAACATAAGGAATATTTTAGACTTGCTATTTTATATATAAAAACACATTTCACTCTTACATGCTAATTAAATGAAAGTGAGCTGGCTAAAGCTCAGCACAGTCAAGCATGAGAAGATGATGTTGGGCTGTAGGAAGCAGTTGGAGGAGAGGGCGGATGTAATATCGGTTTTCTTGCTTGAAAGAGTGTCTGCCATGAGTTACCTAGGTTTGCAACAAAGGATGATTTTGGACACCCTCCCTCCCCATAGTTGCAGTGAGGTGATTCTATAGCACTAAACCAGTCAACTTTTTACAATCTGGTTCTGACTAGGAGGTTATGAATTTTCCTTTTGAATACAGACCTTGCCACTGTTACCCACGTCTGTTACTGTAAGATTAGACTTTTGCAATAGACTGTACTTGGTGCTATACCTTAAAAGAGTTTGTAGGCTGAAGCTGGTGCAGAACGCAATAGTGGCTCAGTATTGAGCTGAACATCTTATTAGGAGCATGTGACACCAGTTCATTGCTGTCTGTCTGGTTTCCAGTTAGTTTAAGGTGTTGGCTATGATCTCTAAAGTCCTAAATGGCCTGCAATCTGCATATCTGGGGAATCCCTTTTTTCCCAGTGGCATACTGCCATAGCTGCAGTCAGCTGTGGTGCACAAGTGGGATTCCAACTTATAAAAAGAGGGGGGGATTGTGGGCGAGACATTTTGTGTGGTGTCCAGGGCTCTGGAACTTGCTCCCTCACCTTGGTCCAAAATAGCTTGATTTGGGGTAATCCTATGGGCTTTCCTCTGGCTTTTGGAGGGTGTTGAGGATATACTCCTTGCATTATGAAGGGATGAAAAGGAGCTTTTTTTATAGGTGCCTGGCCGGGTCTTTTCGGATTGATTGCTTAATGCTTCTGGTGTTACTAACTGAGGGTGTCTCTATACTGCAGCTGGGACCATGCTTCCTTGTGCAGGTAGACAGCAGGTTAGCACACTAAAAGTAGCAGTACTCGGGTGGCTAGCCCAAGCTGCTGCCCATGCTGCTGCCACACTGCTATTTTTAGGATGCTTGCTTGAGCAGAGCTAGTATGTGTCTGTCTACCTGTGCTGAAAACATGCTTTCAGCTGCAGTGCAGATGTACCCTGAGAGCTAGGGTGTTAAGGCTGTAAATGCATCGTCTTTTTATATTTTTATTCTTTTAAAATTGAAATAAAATCTGAACAACAGTTATTAATTTTTAACCTTGTCTGATATGGTTAGGTAATAAATATTTTAATGTAATTTGTTGCTAGCTGGTTGGTTCATGTGTGTTTCAATTTAATCTAAAGATTGTACACAAAAATCTTCCCATCAAGTTTGTGTTCATAATGTTCTGCTTTAATGAATATCCAAGATTTCTAACCTTTAGATCTTGATTCAAACTGAATTAAATTATCAGCTGTTTTTACAAGGTTCCCCCCTCTCCCCCCGGAATTGAATAGACTAATTTGTCAAGTTATTTCTTTGCGAAAGTTTCTTTATAGATAGTTATGTAGTTTTAAACCATCCAAATTTTAAGTCATCACATTTTAAACATAAATATGAAAACTTACAGGGACTTCTGCTTGTTATATACAGACTGCAGTATAGGTTTTTCACTGGTACAGCGTATGTAATTATCCTTAAATTACCTTATAAATATGTTGTATGCCTGGGTTAAAAGTAGGTGTGTGGTGCCATCTTAGTTAAGACACTTTACAAAGGTGTAGGTTTTTTGGTTTTTTGTTTGCTTTTTTGGGGGGGGGGTGGAGGGGTTGGTGTTTTTTTGTTGTGAGGGGGAAATACTCAAATGTAGGTTTTTAGTTGGGTAGAGATGTGCTGCCCATTTTAACATTAAGTAAAAATATGGTTTCAATTCTCATATTCCTGTAAGTGCCAGTTATTGTTGAAATAAACATCATACTGATATCAATAGATTAAGAATAAAAATATTTGACTTTTGTAGAGCATTATATTTAATCCAAAGAGGTTCATATAAATACACCTTTTCTCAATTTTTTAAAGTTTTTGTGAAATTCTGCTTTTTATTATAGCAATGCACTTCACTACATGACACTACACTTTGTATCTATGATTCTGTATGTTTTCTAACTACAAGAGTATTTAAGCGCTATAATAGGTTTGTATGGGAAGTTGTGGAATCCCCATCATTGGAGACTTTTTTAAAACAGACTGGACAAACACCTGTCATGGATGGTCTAGGTTTACTTGGTTCTGCCTCAGTGCAGGGGGCTGGATTTGGTGACCGATTGAAGTCTCTTCCAGCCCTTCACTTCTATGATTTTATGATTCTTTCTAGAGCTGAAACAAACAAAACTGTTTTTACTGTGCATTCATATTTCTGGAACTTTCCAAAACTTTTTTCCAAACTTGCTTAGTTGTTTAGACACGTATTAAGTTTGGTATTTGTATTTGCTTTTGTTTTTTAAAGGAGTGATTTGATTTAAGAGTGCCTGGTAGATTGGCATATGATGGGAGTTCCAGTTATGGGGGCAGTTTAGAATATATACAAAGACCAACATGTGAAAAGATTCACTGGTGTTGGCCAAATAGGGCCCGTTTCCCCCCGGAGCTTACCTAATTACACCAAGGAGGCACGGAGAGACATGAAGATGGGTACCAGGTTCTTTATTAGTCAGTCAGCTGAGAGGGTGCTCCACTCGGCTCATGCCAGAGGAGAGAGACACCTTTCATGGCCGCAATCGGCCCTTTTTATAAGCAGTAACAAACAACTTAGCCTTCATTCCCTTTGCGTCATTATGCTGACCTATAGATAACAGGTTACACAGAATACATATATTATTTTGGGGAAGGGGATACAAGAGACATCTGTTGCGGATACATTTGTCATTTTGAAGGGAGAACAAGGTACATCCCTTGACCCACTGCACTAAATGCCTTGGGGATATATGGGGAAACAGCTGCATATACTTGTAAGCCAAGTGAGCCAATTAGCAAATAGCTGACATGGTTAAATGCAAGATTAAATGCACGTCCTTGATTTTATTTAAATCTTTAGGCCTTTTCCATCACTGGCAAAGCTAAGGGGGCAAAAGGGACAGTTGTGCAAAAATAATAACAAAAATATAGTTTCTACAGAACAGAGAATATACAGAGGTTTGGGAAACTAATAAAGTTTTACTCTCTTGCAGCTACTTCGAGATCAGTTTCAATACAAACCAGTTTTAACAAAACAGCAGTTTCTCCAGTGTGGCTTTGCAGAAAGGAAAATACAGATTGTTTGTGACGTTATCAGTGCTGTGATGAAAAAGCATAAGGAATTAAGTAATATGAATAAGGTACTGATCTGGTACTTCAGATATGATTTACAGTATTTGAGAGAAAGATTAACTATATTTTGTAACATATTTCAGTTCAAATGTTGATCTAACTAGAAAAAGAACTACAATAAGGATCACTGAAGTTAGAATAGGGGGGTAAAAACCCTAAATCAGAGTCCATCCCCTTACAAATTCAGTGTGTACTCTCCCAATATAGAGGATATATCAGATATTTAAGTGATTCTGCACTTGCTGCTAGCCAAAGGACCTAGACCAGGGGTTCTCAAACTTCATTGCACCGCGACCCCCTTCTGACAACAAAAATTATTATATGACTCCAGGAGGGGGGACTGAAGCCTGAGCCCGCTCAAGCCCCGCTGCCCTCAGTGTGTGTGTGTGTGTGTGTGGGGGGGGGGGACACGACATAGCCAAAGGGCTTCAGCCCTGGGTGGTGGGGGTGGAGAGACTGTAACCTGAGCCCCACCGCCCAAGACTGAAGCCTTCAGGCTTTGGCTTCAGCCCCACACGGTGGGTCTCGGGCTTCAGCCCCAGGAGATGGGGCTCCAGCAAGTCTAACGCCAGCCCTGGCAACCCCATTAAAATCGGGTCGCGACCCAGTTTCAGAACCACTGACGTAGACATACTAACATTTTGTAGTGAACAGACAAAATTTCAAGCAAAGATAACAAATTCACGCCTATTAACAGTAAGTTTCATGTACTCTGTTACGCTTTTGGATTTAGTGAGAATATCATTGCAAAATAGTTCATTGTACTTCTGGAACAACTTAAGGTAGATAGGAACAAAAATTGAACATCTGCTCATTTGGAGTTTTTAACTTTTTTTTTTTTTTAATTTTCTGAAAAGTGTGACACCTAACAGTATAGTGTTCAGAAACAAACAAAACAAACTTTTAAGTCCAAGCATCTGCAACAAATTGTGTGTCTATATATTCTTACTACTTGTATGTGAGTTTTAGTTGGATTTCACAATACACAGTTTGGGTCTTATTCATATATAGATCTTAATATATATTGATTTAGTATTAGGGCAGGTAAGAAATCTAACACATCAGTTGATACTGGGTGTATGGGCAAGTTCCTTTCAGAAAAGAAATTTGAAACATTCCTATCTCATACGAACTTGTAGGATGTAGATTGGGGTGGTCAAACCGCGGCTCGCAGTTAAAGTGCAGCTCACGGAGCCCTCCGTGTCCCCCCACCCCATTCTCCGCCTACCAGACTGGGGCCGGGGGAGAGCTCGAGGCTTCTGCCCAAGGGGAAGGAAGGGTCTCAGGGCTTCAGCCTCGCTGGAAGCACCTGCCAGGACTTGGGGCAGAAGCCCTGGCAGATGCCTTCCCCAGGGCAGAATTCCCTAGCCCTGCCGCAGAGCAGGAATTCTGCAGGGCTGAAGCCCTGAACCCCGGCAGGCACGCCCAGCTCTCGAACTTCTGAAGATTATCGCATGTGGCTCAGAGGATCAGTAAGTTTGGCCACTCCTGATATAGATAATCATTGCACGTAACACTAGTGTTAAGAAGTTCTATTATATGCATTTGTAACTTGTGACCCTTATTACTATAAGGATATATTTTCCTATAATTTTTTTAAAAAAATTAAGTGTTAAATACCTTACAAATATTTTTTCTTTTATATCCATGACCAGGCTAGACCCAACCTCGTATGTGCAAAATGTGATTTGAGAATGTATATATATTAGATTCACTTTCAAGTGTTTGTTTGAGACACTATTGGCATTCTTAATTTCATATTTTTCTATTTTTGGTTAATATTTTATAATGAAAAAATCCAAATCTGTTTCATATGTATGATGTACAATCGGATCATATAGTGATCATTTTTAACAGTTTATTTTAGGGGGGGAAATGACATTGCTAATGTGGATTTTTTGTTTATTTTGAAGGCTAAATCTCAAACAAGAAAAAAAAACAGGTCTTTAAAATCTGAGTCACAGGCAAATTGTGAGAAACTTCTTGCTGATCCTGTTATTTGCAGGACTGTGATTTCTCAGCAGGTATGAAACTAGAAAGAAAATTGTTTGCTTTTTTATGTGTACAGTTTAAAGTTCTTTGACCCTGGTGATATTAACAAATCAGAGTAGGGCTGATCTGCAGTTGTTCAGCAAGCCAGTACCTTCCTAGAATGTAAGCTTCCATTTAAAATAAACAAAAACTTTAGTTGTGAAGATAAGTGTAAAAACAAGATGCAAACAGATGCAAAGAGTGGCTCTGAGAAATGTGCTCTGCTTCAGTTCACACTGAAGTCTAATGATGGTATTTAAAGTATCATTATAAATTTACTGTTTCATTGGTGACCAAATATGCAAGAAAGGAGAGGGACAAACATAATATGAAGACATGCATAATCTATTGCTGGTGGGTAGAATTTGGGCTATGAATGTAGTTTGAATTCTTTCCAATCTGACCATACGTAATACTACAATAATCTGTTATCAGAAATACTTTTTGATATTCTGCCAAAATCTGGAAATGTCTCTTCATAACACATTTCTCAGTATAATATGTTTGATCTACTAACCTCTGCTACTGTTATACTGTGAGGGAGTCAAATAAGTTTTACTCTTATTGTTTGCCATAGAGGCAGCAAAGTTACACCCTCCAGAACTTTACAGAACTGTAATTGTTTAGTAAATCCGGACAGTCTCTACTCAATGCCAGAACATAGCATCACTTGCTGTTAAAATCTGTCCTCGTCACAAAGATTACCTGCTTCTGGCAAGACTTACCACCTGACCCTACCCTTTCTGTATGATAAAGTAGAATGGGGAACACGTGGGACTCCTATGGACAGATAGTCCACAGCTCCTTTGAAGAGAGGAATCTGTCAGCCACACTAAAATATGCATTAATCAACCAGCATTGAAGAAACCATTGATTTGCAGAGTTCCGAGTATCAACCATTGACCATTGGTTACCTCCCTTTTTAAAGCATGCTAATTGAGAAGCTAGCAGAGAAGTTTACAATTCTACCTTTCAGCTGCCAGTGTTCTAGATCCTTTTCATTCCGGCTTTTGGTCAGTGCATGATACAGGAAAAGAGCTTATTGCTCTGCAGGAGTAGGTCTTCCATCATAGACAAGAGAAATAGATTCCTACTCATTTTGCTAAACTTCTTGTGACACTTGATACTATTGATCACCTAGTACACAACTGTCCAGTCTCCAAGAGACTTCAGGGGAAAATGGAAATACTCTGAAATGGCTCAGATTCTTATTGTGCTGAAATCAGAAGGTCATCATGGACAGCTGTTCTTCCACTTCCAAAGCCATCACCTCTGGAGTCCCACAATGCACATGATTCTTCCCTTTATTATCCTGTTGCAAATAGGAAGCCATCAAGGGTATGTCTACACTGCAATTAGACACCTGCAGCTGACTGGGGCTCGGGCCAATGGGCTGTTTAATTGTGGTGTATACATTCAGGCTTGGGCTGCAGCCTGAGCTCTGGGACTCTCCCACCCCATAGGATTCTAGAGCCCAAGCTCCAGCCTGAGCCTGAACATCTACACTGCAACTAAACAGCCCCTTGGCCCAATCCCTGCAAGCCTGAGTCAGGTGGTACGGGCCAGCTGCGGGTTTTTAATTGCGATGTAGACATACCCTGAGAGATTTCTTAAAACAGGCTGAAGTGCAGGTAGTGCATGAATGACACTGAGCTCTACATCTCCTTTAAGCTAAATATAAACAACATTGTCTTCTTGCTTCCTCATAGTTTTGATCCAAAGCCTAGTTGAAAATATCTGGGTAAAGATATATAGGAGGAAAATTGGGGTGATGTCATTGTAGGGCACCAAATCAGGAAGAGGAGGTGGATCAGGCATTCCTATCACAAATAACAGAAATATCCAAAATACAAGACGTGATAGTAATGGGGAACTTTGCCCAGACATCTGTTGGAAAAGTAATACAGCAAAACACAAAATTTCCAATATATTCTTGAAGTGTAGTGGGGACAAGTAGAATGTATTAGGGACAACTTTTTGTTTCAACAAGTGAAGGAAGTAAGTGGGGGCAGCCATTTTAGTCTTAATTTTGACCAACAGGGAGGAATTGGTTGCAAATCTGAAGGTGAAAGGCAATTTGGGTGAAAGCGATCATGAAATGGTAAACTTCATAATTCAAAGGAAAGAAAGGAATGAGAGCTGTGGACTTCAAAAAAGCAGACTTTTAACAAACTCAAATAACTGGTAGGTAAGATCCCATGGGAAAAATAGTCTAAGGAATAAGAGTTCCAGAGAGCTGGCAGTTTCTCAGAGAGGTATTAAAGGCACATCTGCAAACTATTCTGATGCAAAGGAAAGATAAGAATAGTAAGAGGCCAATATGGCTTTTTCAGTAGCTCTTCAATGACCTGAAAATAAAAAAAGAATTCTAGAAAAATAGGAAACATGGATAATTGGCTAAGGAGGAGTACAAAAGAATAGCATAAGCATATAGGTACAAAATCAGAAAGCCCAAGGCACAAAATGAGTTACACCTAAGTAATAAGAAGAGGTTCTATAAATTACATTGGAACCAAGAAAAAGCAAAGGAAAAAATAGGTCCTCTACTTAGCGGGGAAGGAATGCTAATAATGGACAACATCAAGAAGACTGAGGAGTTTAATGCCTATTTTGCATCAGTCTTCACCAAAGTTAATGATGACCAGATACTCAACACAATCAATAAGGGGGAAGGAACACAAGCCAAAATAGGGAAAGAACAAGTTTAAAAATATTTACCCAAGTTAAATATAATCAAGTCGCCTAGGCTTGATGAAATTCATCCTATGAGACTTAAGGAACTAGCTGAAACAATCTCTGAACCAATAGCAATTATCATTGAGAACTCATGAAGGAAGGGTGAGATCCCAGAAGACTAGAGAAGGGCAAACATAGTACCTCTCTTTAAAGGGGGAAACAAAGAGGACCTGGGAATTATAGACTGGTCAGGCTGACTTTGATACCTGGAAAGATATTGGAACAAATTATTAAACAATCACTTTGTAAGCACCTATTGGATAATAGGATTATAAGGAATAGCTAGCATGGATTTGTCAAGAACAAATCTGGCCAAACCAACCTAATTTCCTTTTTTAGCAGGATTACTGGCTTAGTGGTTAGGGAGGAAGCATTAGACATGATATATCTTAATTTTAGTAAGGCTTTTGACACAATCCCCTATGATATACTCATAAACAAATTTAGGGAAATGCGATCTAAATGAAATTACTATCAGGTAGGTGCATAACTGGTTGAAAGACCTTCCTCAGAGTAGTTATCAATGGTTTGCTGTCAAACTGGGGGAGAATATCCAGTGGGGTCCACAGGAATCTTTTCATTAATGACTTGGATAATGGAGTGGAGAGTACACTTATAAGTTTGCAGATGACACCAGGCTGGGAGGGGTTGCAAGCAATTTGGAGGAAAGGATTAGAATTCAAAACAACCTCGACAAATTGGAGAATTGGTCCAAAACAACAAGATGAAATTCAATAAAGACAAGTGTGAAGTGCTTCATTTAGGAAGAAGAAATCAAATGCACAACCACAAAATGGGGAATAACTGGCTTGGTGCTAGTACTGCTGAAAAGATTCTCCGGGTAATGGTGGATCATAAATTGAATGTGCATCAACAGTGTGATGCAGTTGCGAAAAAGTCTAATATTCTGGGGCATATTAACAAGTGTTGTATCTAAGGCATGGGAAGTAATTGTTCTGTTCTGCTTGGCACGCATGAGGCCTCAGCTGGGGTACTGTTGAATACTGGGCACCACACTTTAGGAAAGATGTGAACAAATTGGCGAGACTCCAGAGAAGAGCAACAAACAATGCTAAAGGGTTTAGAAAACCTGATCTATGAGGAAATGTTTAAACAAACAAACAAAAAAAACTGGCCACGGTTAGTCTTGAGAAAAGACTAAGTGGGGGACCTGATAACACTCTTCAAATATGTTAAGGGGTGTTATAAAAACAACTGTGATCAATTGTTCTCTCTGTCCACTGGTGGTAGGACAAGAAGTAATGGCCTTAATCTTCAGCAAAGGAGATTTAGATTAGATATTAGGAAAACTTTTCTAACTATAAAAGTAGTTAAACTCTGGAATAGGCTTCTAAGGAAGGCTGTGGAATCCCCATCATTGGTGGTTTTTAAGAAGAAGCTGGAGAAATCGCTGTCAGGAATGGTCTAGATTTATTTGGATCTGCCTCTGCAAAGGGAGCTGAATTTGAGGACTTCTCAAGTTTCCTTCCAGCCCTTCATTTCTATGATATGTTTGTGACTTCCACACTTGATTATTGTAACTTGTACCTTATAATGAAGCCACACGGCCTGAAAAAGTTCAGCTGGTATAAAACACAAAAGTTCATTTGCTTAGCAGTGCACATTACCATGAGCACGTCACTTTGGTGTTCTGCTTTTTCAACTGGCTTCCCATTGAATAGAGTATAGTTCAAGGTCTGTGTCCCCTTCATGGGCCTAGATCTAGCTACCAGTGAGCATGCCCTTCCCTCCACAACTGTGACCTCCCATGACTTCTAAGTTCCGTTGGAACAATAAAATTATTAAGCAGTAGAGAGAGACTTGTGAGCCTTTGAAGTCAGAACATTCAGAGGAGTAGGGCTTACACCATGGAACTCTTGCAAGGGGTAAGAGACCTTGCTGTGCTCAGAAAGAAATGTAATACTGATCTTTTGACTTGGCTTTCCCTCAGTAAGCCTACCTAGAAAAACTAAAAATAAACAAAACCACCTAATCAAGCTATTTTTCTAACAGGCTGCCAAGGAAAAGGAGAGATGTTTCTTACTTTAAATATGTGGGAAGCATATTTGGGGTGATGGGCCATATGACTCTGAAAAGATTATCAAGGATAACTCTGTTTTTGTTTTCACAGTTTAAAACTTTCATGGCCTGTCTTACAACTGGGTGAGATCAGATTGCTTGGGTGTCTAGATAAAAGCAAAATAATTAAATGCAGAACATTGTACATTTAGTTGTCAAGAATGTTTTTGTTGTAATAAATCATATATGTGGATTATTGTTTTTACATACAAAGAAACCTCAAGTGGAACATCACCCAGATAGTGAAGTTAATGTGCATGGCTATAATACAGCCATTCCAGTAGAAGAAGATAGTGAAGAAGAATCCTGTGTAGCTGATGATGTTTTAGAAGTTGTGTGTGAACAAGTAAGAATTTGAATTTTTAAAATGTAGAGTTTGGTATGATAGCCTAAGTGGCTTCCAAACATCTTTTTTTATTTTTTTCAAAATTAAACTTGATCTATAAGTATATAATAAATGTGTAAAGAACATTGGTAGTACAATTGTACAACTTGTTAAGAAAAAAAGGTTCTAACATGAGTAGCAGTTGACTTACTACATCTTATTTATTTTGAATAATGTCCAAATGTGCAATGTACTGTACAAGCACAAAAAAGAAGGGTCCCTGCCCCATGGTCTCTTAAAAGATCATACCAGATGGTCAAAAAACAGAGGGTAAAGGGAGAAGAGGCACAACAAACCTGTGGGAATAGTTATGTGGTGGCTGGTCTTGTCTTGATTATTATTTCTATGTAAAGCACCCCCAGTTACCCCACAACTTCAGAGTCAGCTGGCTGGTTTCTGGCAGGTATCTCTAATGTGCAAACTTTTTGCATAAAGCAGTTCACAGCAATTTCTGAAGGAAAAAGCATTCATAAATGTGACTCATCACAATGGTTGAAATGACCTAGTGGGGAAGAAAAAATGTTCCACACTTCTGCAGTGGAGTTTATCATGTCTGTTCAATTGTATTTATGCCTAAAATTAGAGAAAATAAAATCTCTTATTGTTCTTATTTCCAGGCCACAGAAGATAATAGTCAAATCGAGCTGCTAAAGAGCCAGCTTGCTGATTGCCAAGAAAAACTTCATAAGCTAAATTCGATGGAAGATAAACTACATGTTTTAGAAGAGAGACTGAAAGGGAAGGTGATTATAGATGAGAAGGACTGGAATAATCTCCTGAGCCGGGTCTTGCTTCTCGAAACAGAACTGTTATTGCAGTCAAAAAAGGTATATTTTACCATAAAGCTTCAATTTTATTGGGGAGGTTGAATGTGTAGCAGGGTGGATTGATTTAAACCGGGGATTTTAATCTTATTTAGCATTTGTATGTTATTTGCCTAAAGAGAGGATGATTCTCATTGGTTGGTATAACCATCAAAATATGTTGTTTTGCAACTAAATATGTAGAACCTTAGAGTTACGAACATCAGAGTTACGAACTGACCAGTCAACCACACAGCTCATTTGGAACCAGAAGTACACAATCAGGCAGCACACATCCCTTCACCCCCCCTCACAACCCCTCCCCCCCAAAAAAAGCAAGTACAGTACAGTACTGTGCTAGACGTAAACAACAAAAATAAGGGGAAAGTTTTGTTTTTTTTGTTTTTTTTTTTTAAATTGAGAAGGTAAGGAAACTTTCTGTGCTTGTTTCATTTAAGTTAAGATGGTTAAAAGCAGCATTTTTCTTCTGCATAGTAAGGTTTCAAAGCTGTATTAAGTCAATATTCAGTTGTAAACTTTTGAAAGAACAACCATAATGTTTTGTTCAGAGTTGTGAACATTTCTTGAGGGGTTCGTAACTCTGAGGTTCTACTGTGTAGCCTTTACATGAAATCTAGTACTACTTTTGCTAAATAGGGAGATTTAAACAATTATAAAACGTGACATACATTTATTCAAATTTTTACTACTTTGTTAGAAAATGGTGAATGAGGCAATTCTTTTCTACTAGATCAATTTTTTTACTTGTGATTTGTATCAAGATACCTTTAGATGAAAATTGGAATGCAGTCAAAATGCGCTAAAACAGCATTCAAAATTTGTTTGCTAGTTAAATACTTAAGAAAAATAAGTTTTTTTTTTTTTTTTTTTTTAAATCAAAACCTGTTTTGCATTTAAAACCGAATTGTGAAACAAAGGACATATTATCTGTAGTTAGTGAATTGAAGTGATTGTTTCATAGGGTTACCATATTTCAGCAAGCAAAAAAGAGGACGGGAGGAGCCCCGCCCCCGTCCTGCCCTAGCCCCGCCCCTGCCCCTCCCACTTCCCGCCCCCTCAGAACCCCCAACCCTCCCCCCGCTCCTTGTCCCCTGACTGACCCCTCCTGGGACCCCTGCCCCTAACTGCCCCCCAGGACTCCACCCCCTACCTAAGCCTCCCTGCCTCTTGTCCCCTGACTGCCCCCTCCTGAGACCCTCCCCCCATCCTAACTGGCCCCCTAGGACCCTACCCCCTACCTGTCCCTTGACTGCCCCAACCCTTATCCACACCCCCAGACAGACCCCTGGGACTCCCACGCCCCATCCAACCATTCCCCACCCTCTGACAGCCCCCCCCCCAGAACTCCCCCCATCCCTGCTCCTTGTCCCCTGACCACCCCTCCTGGGACCCCTGCTCTTAACTGCCCTCCAGAACCCCACCCCCTACCTAAGCCTCCCCGTTCCTTGTCCCCTAACTCCCCCCCGACCCCACCCCCACCTGTACCCTGACTGCCCAAAACCTTATCCACACCCCCCCAGACAGTCCCCCCCAAACTCCCGACCCCTCCCCGCTCCCTGTCTCTTGACTGCTCCCTCCAGAACCTCCCTGCCCCTTCTCCGACCCCCTGGCCCCCTTACTCTGCCACTCAGACCAGAGTGCCGGGGAGGAGGAGCAGGGGGAGGAGCGCCAGACTGCCGGTGCGAACGGCCGGCTGGTGATCTGCGAATGCAGGGAGGGAGGGAGGGAGTGCTCTCAGCTGCAGGGGAGAGGAGGGGGAAGCGGAGGACGGGCTCTTTCTGTCTGTCGGAGCCCCATGTAAGTGGCACCATCCGGCCGGCTGCCCTGTTAGCCGCGCGCGCTCTGCATGGGGGGGGAAGTCCGGACATTTACAAATTCCCCCCGGACGCTATTTTTAACTCTAAAAGCCGGACATGTCCGGGGGAATCCGGATGAATGGAACCCTATTGTTTCATAGACTTGTAGAGTACATCTATACTGTAATAAAAGACCCACGCCATGGCTGCAGGATCGGGTCAGTTTACAGTAACTCCTCACTTAAAGTCGTCCCGGTTAATGTTGTTTCATTGTTACGTTGCTGATCAAGTAGGGTACATGCTCGTTTAAAGTTGTGCAATGCTCCCTTCTAATGTTGTTTGGCAGCCGCCTGCTTTGTCCACTGCTTGCAGGAACAGCAGCCCAGTGGAGCTAGCTGGTGGGTGGTTGGAACCAGGGTAGACCGACAGCCCCCCATCAGCTCTCCCTATCGGCTCCCCGCTCCCCTAAGTTCCCTGTGCAGCAGCTGCCCAACAGGCTAGCAATTGCAGCTGTCCCTCCCCCCACTGCCATGTGCTGCTCCTGCCCTCTGCCTTGGAGCTGCTCCCCAAGACTCCTGCTTGCTTGGGGGGGAGGGGGGGAGAAAAAGGGGGACTAATGTCACGGTGTTCCCCTCCCCCTGCTCCTGCACCCGTCTTACCCCATCTTCCATAGAGCAGAGAGGAAACACGACAGAGGGAGCTTGCAGGCAGCAACAGGTGCAGCTGCGGTCTGGTCTCAGCTTGCTGATCTAATTAACAAGGCAGTATACTTCTGACCCCACTCTTCATAATTAAAGGGGAAATGCGCATCTCTCTCTCAGGGTGTGTGTCTCTGTCTCTGTCTGCCCTCCCTCCTTTCCTACTGCCTTGTTTGAGAGTTTGAGAGTTAACCCTTGAGTGCTCAGCCAATTCCTAGTTCATCATTTAGCAGTAAGGCATTCCCTGGAAATATCCCACCCTCTGACTCCTTCACCTCAACCAAGCTTCACAATCATCACCACTGTGTACCAGTATTAAACTGTTTGTTTAAAATTTATACTGTGTGTGTGTGTGTGTGTGTGTGTGTTAGTCTTTTGTCTGGTGAAAAAAATTTCCCTGGAACCTAACCCCCTGATTTACATTAATTCTTATGGGGAAATTGGATTTGCTTAACATTGTTTCGCTTAAAGTCGCATTTTTCAGGAACATAACTACAACGTTAAGTGAGGAGTTACTGTACTTGGGCTTGCCGGACTTGGGTTACAGGCCTGTAGAATTGCTGCATAGATGTCCGGGCTCAGGCTGGAGGCTGGGTGCTGGGGTAAGGATCCTACCACTCGGCCCCCGGCCTGAGCCCCAATGTCTATGCAGCAGTTTTACAGTCCCGTAGTCTGAGCCCCGTGAGCTTGAGCCAGCTGACCTGACCCAGCCGTAGGTGTTTAATTGCTGCATAGACACATCCATAGGTTCTGGTCACTATGTCCTTCAAGATTTTAGAGCTAGTAGATCTCCTCACACCTTGTTTTTATTCGTACATTGGAAGAGAAAAGCAAAGGGTTTCCTTTTCTTCAACTTACTTCTAATGACCTAGTGATTTAAACTGAAATTGTTGAATAAATTGAAATGGAAAAAGTGTTCTTTCTGTACTTACAGAAGAGGTTACTGCGGTCAAAAGCTAGGTTAACATTTCAACAAATTATATGGTTCCAGGTGACTTGCACCACTTCAGTGGCTTGACTTTCTTCACAGCTTCAGAAGCAAACATGTGCTGCTTAAATACTACCTTTTCATTTAATTTAAATGATTTTAATAGATTTTTAGTAAGGTTAAGCCTGATGTAGGTTTTCATAATTTCAAATTTCATTGTCAATAGTTTTATTTTTAAAAAGAAAAATGTATTTAATTTAAATTTTAAAATATTTTTGATTTAAAAAAAAAAACACAAACATTTTCTCTACCCTGATCTGTACTAATATTTAGCAATTAGAGTGAAAAATTATATCTGTTCTTATCAGTTTAATATCTACTATTTGTAAGGTAATGTGTGGCCATGATCACGTGACAAAATTTTAAACAAGACAGAAATCTCAATTTCCTCATGAGCCCACTATTCCTCCTCTCTCCCAATTGTGCTCTCTCCCCCTTTCAGGGGGCCCCCTGTTTCCCTCCCATCCAAAAAAAAGTTAGTGGCTTGTTACTGAAAAGTGCTCAGCTATTTCTTCAGGACTTGTGGAGCAGCACTGTGCATTGTAATGGAGTTTCCCAGAAGGAGCCTGCAGACCCTGAGGGAACTACAGAAATAGCTCTGCAGTTTATCAATGATAGCTGTAACTGTAATAATTTATATGAGACCGCCAAAGTACCACTTATGAAGCTGAATACTGTTTAATTTCCCAAGGCAAGGTATATCATATTTTGAAAATAGAGAATCTTTTTACAAGAGCTTCTTGAAAAGGTTAGACTTTCGTTCTGTTTAGCATTATCTGGGTTTCACACTGGACATCTTCATTTCTGATTGTAGAAAAATGCACTATTTCATATCTTCAGGCAAACCATCTAGAAACTAGATGCAAAATTAAGAATGAGAATTCAGCAGATGGTTTGCTCAGTACTGTGGTAAACTTACTTCATTCATTGGGCAAGTTTCTCACTGATCATCATCTTATTGATTTCTGATTTAGTGGTTCGCATTTCTCCAATTCTTTCACTCCTTGTTGGTGACATTAGGTAAACTTTCTAAATGCACATGAGATTTAGTGACATCACTATGCTCGGTACGTTTAACATGCCACAGAAAATCAGCATTTTTCCTCAGAGTAGTGTATCTTTTTTTAACTTTAAAAGCTTTTGAGAGGTAGAGGTGTGTGTGTGTGTGTGTGTATATATGTATAATATAATATAAAAAATATTGAAAAAATTTATATATATCTAATGCTAGTGTTCACAGCACAGTATATTTGTGAGTATGGGTTCAGGATCTTCCTGTAATGCTTAAATTACAATCCTCCGAATACTTCAGTTATTGTGAAAAGCTGTCCAAAAGTTGGAAATCTTTGCAAAAAATACTTGACTGATGCTGCAGTTCTTGCAGAAGTGTTAGAATGTTCAGTCAGTCACATCATTTTGTTTGGTTGTAGAAAGTTGTAGATGTCGTCGGTGTTATAAACATATAATATGGTTCTCATTCTACATTTTTTGAAAATGCATTGTTCATCTAAAAGAGGTTTT